TATTTTATCGTTTGACATTCTCACGCCCTAATTTGTACTTATATATGTATATTTCATTCGTTTTTTCTTCAACTTGAAAATGATCTCAGAGAGATCGAAGCGTCGTTTTTTACCGCTAGTTTTTATTCTGAAAATGTTTTTCAAAAAAACTACTTATAAAAATCTGTCAGAGCTAATAAAATATATTTAGAAGAGTGACAAATTACAGAATATTGGAAAAACTGTCTGAACAACCTTGACTTTTTACCAATTCAACATGTCAGGCAATATCATTTCCATGATGTGGCAAAGTATGAAAAAATTTCACTGAAGGAAATTATAAATATTAAGGTGTTTAGGCCGAAATGGGGAATATGTCTGCCTGTCATTAGATGAGATGTTGCCATGGTGACGGCCATAATCCAAATATTGACAACCAAAAAATAAGCCTTATTTTAAGAGTACCCATACTAGTAAATCTCTACAGGGAAAACTTTAAGAGAAATTAACTAAGTTTCCTTTTCTAACTCGCGCTCAATAGGAAGAGTGTTCGTAAATACTCTAGGGAGCCACCTTAATACGGCCATCGACCACATTCTGAAATCCCAGCCTGTACAATCCTTTACAATTTTACTCCATTTATACGGCCACTCAACATCAGTCACATTCTCAGGAAAGAAAACAATAACTGTCTGTCTGCCCCTGAAGGAAAAAAGAAACCTGGAAGACCAAAGATCACATCGTCGAGAAGGAAAGACAGGCTGGTGAATGGGGAACATGGAATGAGATGTGAGCCTCAGCCAGAGACAGGGCAGTGTGGAGACATGTGGACAGGTAACTGGTAACATACGGCCACTCAAACCAGTTATGTTTATCTTCCAATATTTTATGTAATTATATCTGCATACCGGATACTTACTTCAGAATAGTTATGTAGAAGTGCAATTGCGATATATTTGTTAATATGTTACTCAATTTAGATCAGTCGTGAAGTTTGACCCCACCCAGTTAATACGAACACCCCATTAATACGGCCATATTTTTATGGCCCGTTGGTGACCGTATTAACGAGGTTCCACTGTCAGTGGGGCTCTGGTTGAATTGTAATTTATTTTTGAAAGAGCTGTGGTTTTGAATGCATTCGATCCTACTTGAGTTTGCCAACTGACAACGATTTTTTACTGCTGTGTTTTCATTTTCCATCCCAAAAGAAAGAGAAGTCGACTGGCGTAGGGTTTTTGCTGAAGTGGGTTGAAAATTTGTCCTGTTCACTCGGAAAATTAAGTCATTCTCGGAATGTAAGTACGACATTAAATCTCACTCCCTCGTTCACTACTTTTTAACTTTTTAGTGAATAAGCTGACCAATAGATGGAGATATCGCAGTTATTTGCTCACCAAAGTCGCTATCGTAGTCTAAGTGTCGCTGATCGAACTTGTTTAGATGGAGGAGACACGATTTGCCAAGCGATTTGTTTTAGTGGTAGTGTTTCCTATTAGTAGAATGAATAGACGGTCTATTGTGTTTTTTCAATTTTAAATTCACTTTGGTCAACGGTTAAAAGAAGTTGAATAGTGGGCGTTTCTACACAAGTCTGACAAGTTGATTCATCAGTTTTTCTACACCAGGACATAGGCTACACAGTCTACACATATACACTCCACATTACTCGGTTGTAAGTGAAATTTCAAAACTTACGTGGTGATAATTTAGAGTACGACAGAAATATTGTCAACGATTTTGCATCTTTAACGAAAACGTGTATGGTATATAATGAACTTCGATGTTTTTCGATTTAACAATGCAAAGATCTCTTTAACGTTTTAACTGAACTTTCCACTCGGTCGGTCTTTATAGTTAACCAAACGTTTGCTAAGAAATGGGAAACAAGATAATAAGTATGAATTACCATGCAAATCATTTCGTCCTGGAACTAAATCTTACCTGTGACATTACACTGCTGATATGAGATCTTGGCAGCGTCAATCTCATTTTTGTTGTGTCCCATACAACGAACCATTTCCAGATCACAGAGACATAAAGCATGCCTACACCGCTTCTCCTCATCACTTCCTTCACGATATTCACTCAGTGGAGCTACAGTAATAAAGATAAGGTCCATTTCACTAATAGTATTGACTAATAAGCAGGAGCTAAGATCATCACTGATGTTAGTTATGCAATATTTTACCATACACCCCAGTGAAGTAATGAAAGAAGAAAAATTTTGTCTTCAAGCAATCTACTGCTTGGTTTGGCTATGAAAATTTTTTTCTCTCTTTTTTTATTTCCTTACTGAGATAAATTTTGGTTTCCTTAGGCAAAGGGTCTCATCTAGTTTCTCCTAACATCTTACAATCAAAGGACAAGAAGCAAAAGAAAGTAAATGAATAAACCGAGCAAATAAAATCTCACTCTCTTACACGCACACACATCACGGCGACTACAACAATTTTTTTTCTCATCTCGAGGCCATGAAAATGATTAATATTGCATGGTAAAGTGAAATTTTATTGCTTTTCCGTAAGTTGTCTTCTCGAAGTATGTTTAATTATCTTTAGTAGTTTCACAGTGATTTCCCTACTTTTGACATACTCAGAACAAAACATAATAGCCAAACTCTAGCATGTGAACAAAAACAAAGGTGTGACTGACTAGGGCCTGTAAGTGGTAAATCCCTGAACAACTTTACATTACTTACAACATTTGTTGGTAGCTTTGTTGTATTTGAAATCTTTCCTCAAAAACTCTGCTTTTTTTGTATCACCAACATCACACTTGTCCTTATTAGTGCTGAAGTCTTCAACACAAAGGTCATGAACTTTGCAGCAGCTAAAGAAATAAACAAAGAAATGGAACAGAGAAAAGTTAGAAGAGGGGCACAAAATAGTTCAAGTTCAAGTCATAGTTATATTTACATGAATTTGCTTTTTAAGAGCAAGTGTACACAAAAATAAAAAATAGTTCGGTACTGTTGCATATAAGTAGGCCTTAGGCCCAGTTCAGACGCCGAACTTTTCATGAGCAGAACTTAATTCGAATTTGGAGCGACCCAAATTATCAAAACTACACCTGTTGATTCAGACGTCGAACTTAATTCGCCGAACTTTATTTAGTTTAAACCAAATTACATCGAAAATGTCAGCGATTTTCAGGCAAAGTAAAAACTGCTTGTAAAATACGTTATAATAATTTATGCATTAGGTTCGGGTCATGAAAAGTTCGACGTCTGAATCAAAGCCGTTCCAAAGCCGAAATTTCCGGCTGAGCTAGGCGGGAAGAACGTTCCAAATTCAAATAGCTGTTCTTAACTGATTCAAATGCCAAACTTTTCATGTACTTAATTCAATGTATTTGGTTCGGCTCATGGAAAGCTCGGCATCTGAACTGGGCCTTAGATTGCTAATGAACATGTCGAAATGGCTTCGTAATTAACTTGAGCCATTTAAAATTACTCACTCCATTACTACAGACAACATAAAACAATACACTACACTTCACAAAGCTTCTTACCAACAATATTAAGCTTCAAAGGCAGCTGTAAATGTGATTCGGAACCTGCAGAAAGATCCGGTAAAACACCCTTACGATAAAAGTCACAATCAATGGGTATCGAGCTTTCACCTGGCAAACACCGTGCCGTCCCCTAGTAAAATAATCTGAGGACACGATCACAACGCATTTTCATTGGAAGAAACAACGACATGTACAATTGGTCAAAAGGTGTCTGCCATGCGGGACGAAAGTGCAACGCTATGGCTGTTGACCGGTCAGATTGCAGGAAAATTTGAATGAACCAATCAGAAGGCAGATTTTGCCCACATGACCAACAAAATGGCTATCTCGACACCCTCAAAGTCCCTCTCTGTCACGGTTGGCTGAGGGCCAAGGTTTGGTTCCCAGTCCCCTGAACAAAAGAAAATGAGTGAAATATTCAAAAAAGGGTTTTAATGTGGATTGAACAGTTTCACAAAGTGGTTTCCTTTTCCAGCTGGCTTCAGGTCCAGAAACCGTCATTGTGTATCCAGGACTGAAACTTGGCAGTCGCCAGGTCGCCAGTGGCAACTTAAACGTAACTGGGCGACTAAAAATTCAGCTTAATGTATTGCCATTGCAGTTAAACCCCACCCAACCACCACCCCTTTATTATGACCACTTTTTTTATGGCCTGGGCAGAAGTCCACTCATTCTCCTATCTGAAAACCCCATTATTACATCGAATGACCACCTTTTGGAGTGCTCGGTCCTTGTGTTCTTTATAAAATTATCCCGTTAATACGACCGGTTAAATTGACCAGTGAGGAAGCTGAATGAAGGCAGACACAATCTGACAGATAAAGGCTCTAATGGACATTTCACAAGAGGCCATATCCTGTTGAGGAACTGAAAGACGTCATTGCTTTTTCGGATTTCATGGAATCAGTTTTGTTCAGTTGCAATGAATTGCTGTTGTAAAAAAAGAAAAAGTGAAGCCTTGGAGCTGACTGGCTCATAGCTGCTGGAGCTTA